TATGCTCTATTTAAACAAGCATTGACTTAAATTTAGAGGCAGCACTAGTGGGGGTACCATCGATCACTAATAACACATGTTTTGATTTCCCTATTGACAGTAACGTTAAACGGATGTCTTATCATTAAAATTAATAAATTAAGTGAATAAAAAATTAATTATTATGCCTACCAAACATTGTTCATTCGCGAATTGCACTTCTGATAGTCGTTGACATCAAGTTGACATGAAAATAATGTTTGTAGTAGATTTATAATGCGATATTCAGTGGTTCAACGTTATTTGGACTTAAGTGAAAATTTTGTCAAAATCCGATTTTTGGCTAAACTTCGCAATTGTAGCCAAACTATGTCAGCGACCGTGATATCCTTTTCAAACAAGATAAACAGGGTCTTTTGTATCTTTACACCAAATAGAGGCTTAGATTTGTAAAATCCAAATAAAAAAATTATTGTGATTTTTTTTCAAAATCTAATGTTTGCATTAACTTTCTATGGTTCTAAAACAAATATTTCACATATTATTTTTTTCTACAACCTATCTTAAAAACTAATAGCATTCTCATGAAAAATTAATCCTGAAAATTTAATTTGGCTAGTGCTGGGGCATCATGTTAAAAAATGTACTTAAATAGTCCAAGTACCAAAAATCCCTGATTTTATAAAGCCTAAAACTATTTTAAAAAGGTTAGGTACCGAAAAAGTTAGAAGCGCAGGTGTCTGCGGTTCTTATAAAGTAACATCTGGTTTAGGTTTAGAAGAGGATAGTTAAAAAGACATTATGTCTCACTCTTACACTGCAGTGGTTGGCTGATTAGGTGGTTTGGTATTTTTATGACCATTGTTTTTTTAGAAGGACTTGTTATTTTTTAGTAAGGGTTATAATTATTGTAAGTTCCTTCCTTAGTCGTTTATCGTCTGCCCCACTGCTTTTACCTGTGTTACGTTTCTGTCCGGTGTTTTGACTTCATCCTCTAAATTCGGCTTGAATATCGGACTTCGATACTTTCCATGTGACTTCGATTGTTGTTACCTCGGAACGAAGACTGCGCGTATATTGGACGTTTATTATTACTAAGTAGATCTGCATCGATTTTGTCCATCATGCCTTATTCTCCACGCGACTATGCAGAAATGTAATATTGTTACGGCGCAGCCCGAGCGAGCGGCTGCTAGGATGTACCGTGAGCAACTGATTAGAAGAAGTGGTCCACAACCTGGGTGCACCCCAGGTTGTGGACCACTGAAAATGACAACCCTAGATACTTTGCTAGGGGATTTCCCTGTACTTCTCGTATTATATTTGTATCACATTCAATAAACAACTTTAAAAGTTTGTGTGTAAAGTTGATAATCTTAAAACAAGTATTCATAAACACAAGTTTATGGTTAATATTTCAATTTTCAATCAGTTATAGAAAAAACGTACTTTATTATCGCATTAGATTTCATAGTCATAATATCTTGTTAGCGATATATTGTTCATATTTCGTTAGCGATAGTAATTATTGATTTTTTTTTATAGGAGAGGGGGCAAACGAGCATGCGGCTCACCTGATGGTAAGTGACTACCGCCGCCCATAAACAACTGCAACACCAGGGGAATTGCAAATGCGTTGCCGTCCTTTTAAAAAGGAGGAGGCTCTTTTCTTGAAGGTCCCTAAGTCGTTTCGGTCCGGAAAAATCGCTGGTGGTAATCGATTCCACAAGGAAGTTGTGCGAGGAAGAAAACTGCTTTTAAATCGCACTGTGGTGGATTGCCTATCATCCAGATGGTATGGATGGTATCGCGAGTTTTGGCGATGGTGAAATTGAGCAGCTGATATTAGTCCGAACAATTTCTCAGAGCACTCCCCGTGGTAGATGCGATAAAATACGCAAAGAAATGCAACATCTCTACGTAGTGCTAGTGATTGAAGTCGATCGGAAAGAACTTCGTCGTTGATGATTCGAACCACTATGCGCTGGATGCAGTCAATTGGAAGGAGCTGGCACTGGGGAGCCCCTGCCCAGAGATGGGAACGGTATTCCATGTGGGGTCGAACCTGCGACTTGTAAAGTTGCAAGCGGTGCGCCGACATGAAATACTGTCCCGCTCTGCTGAGCACGCTAAGCTTTTTAGAGGCCAATTTGAACTTCTATTCCAAGTGACTACGAAACTGCACGTCACTCGATATGTCGACGCCGAGGATTACGATACTGGCTGAGGCAACAAAGGGAGTGCCTTGAAACGGAGGAGATACGACAAAGGGGTTTTTTAGCGGTAAACGCGCAAACTTGTATCTTCTGAGGATTAAACTGGACTAGATTTATTCGCTTCCAATCCGAGACTTTGTTCAGCAAACACTCTACTTCAGACACAAGATAGTTCCGGTACTCGGAGACGTTTTCTCGAGAAATATTGGCACGACCGGTGTATAGAGCATCACCAATGCTGTCATCCGCATAGCAATGAATGTTACCGGTTTGCAACATATCATTGATATGCAGAAGAAACAGCGTTGGTGACAGCACACAGCCTTGTGGAATACCAGCGTTAATGGGATTGTGATTGGAGCATGCACCGTCTACTACGACCTTAATGCTCCGATCTGCAAGAAAACTGGTGACCCAATTGCACAATTTCTCGGGAAGCCCATAGGAAGGCAGCTTCGAAAGAAGCGCTTTGTGCTAGATCCGATCGAAGGCCTTCACTATGTCCATACTAACGGCCAACGCCTCTCCCTTTGACTCCACTGCCTCCACCTATCTATGAGTTAGGTAACCAAGAAGATCACCAGCTGATCGACCCCGACGGAAACCGTACTGGTGGTCACTCATCAGCTGGTGCTCCTCAAGATACCGCATGAGCTGGCAGTTAATAATGGACTCCATTATGTTCGAAAACAAGGAGGTGATGGCGATAAGCCTGTAGTTGGACGGATCAGAGCGGTTACCTTTTTTAGGGTTCGGGTGCACGAAAGCTGTATTCTATGAATTTAGGACAACACATAGGGAGTAAGAGTACCGGAAAAGCCGCGTTAGAACCGGTGCCAACTCTGGAGCGCACGTCCTCAGCACAATTGGCGTGATTTTGTCAGGCCCACTCGACTTGTGTAAGTCCAGGGAGAACAGTGCTTTGCGTACTGAGCACTATGTGAATCGCACATCAGACATAGAGCACTCACACTGCGCGATGCTCAGCGGTGTGTTCACTCCCTCATCGAGTGTCAAGTTGGACGCAAGAAGGGAGCCTAAAAGTTTGGCTTTCTCTTTTCGGCGTGGGATAGTGAGTCCTCCTCCTTGTGCAGAGATGGCAGTGATGGCTTGCAGAGATTGCCTTGAACACCCTTGGCGAGAGACCAGAATGCACGGGTTCCCGAAAGAAGGTGAACTAATTTCTCGCCAATTCTGCCAATGTGCTCATATTTTGCCTTAGCAATAACTCTTTTGAAGGACCTGGGCGCGAAGTTATACTTCTTTTCAAGCATGCTGATGCCAAACACGGTGGCATTCTGCAGAACGCAACTGCGAGGGGAGTGTGAGTGGCACCACACTCCGGATCAGACAATGGTTCGAAGAGCCGAGAGGGCCATCGACAGAAACCTGATATCCCTCCGGATGAGAGGTCAGCAGAAGTTCCAACAGGGAAGGTATATGATCCTCCACATCTGGAATCCGCGTAGGCGAAGTAACCAGTTGTGTTAGATCATATGCCAAGGCAAAGTCATAAGCAAATCTCCTCGCATAATCGGTTAAACGTGAACCGAGCCATTCGGCGTGGTGGGCGTTAAAATTGCCAAGTATCACGATACCTACGGATGGGATCAGTTGTAGCAAGAAATCTGTAACTATTTGGACGTGGTTGATACAGGCACCCGTAGATGCGGGAATGGTCGTCATTGTCTACGCGCAGCGAAAGAATGGACAGGTCCGTACCTTCAAGACTGCCGAGGCGTCAAGAACAGATATTCTCTCTGACGTATACGGAAAGTCCAGCCCGGGGCACAAAGAAGTGTTCTAATTTGTACCCCGGGTAGGACAGGTACGAAGTATCAGCCGGAGAGGTCACCTGCGTCTCGGTCAAAAAGAGCAAGGCCGGCTTCACCGTCTCTAGATAGTAGTGAACGGCGTTTAGGTTTGAGTGATGTCTCGTGATGTTGCAGAAGTCAACGGGTAGCGTGGCAGGGGTCGCCATCGTTTTATCGCTCTTTTTGTCCCGTGCAGTGTTAGAATAGAGCGGGATTCCCCTCCCCCTCTCTCAGAATACGCGGGCAGCCTGAGCATCCACGCTCAGGAAGAAGAGGGTAGCTTGACCGGGGATGCTCAGTAAGGGATTCTCTATTACCAGGGTTGCTGCTACCCTCCTGGGATAGTCCTTTCTTTTTGAATTTCGCGACGATGTTATTTGGGGGGGTGGGGGGGGGGGGCATGGTTGGGCCTCCGGCCACCTCCACTTACCAAGCGAAACGCAGAAGCAAAGCTTTTACTTTACGTTGATATTCTGTGAGGTCGTGGTATTGCCCCGGTTCGAGCCGGTCCATCTATGCTACGGCAGAAGCTGCAACGTAGCTCTACCACTGTTATCCTTACCACTGTGGTCCTTCCCCGGTCGAGCCGACCCATTCGTGCTACAACTTCGCAAGATGGCTCTACCACATAAGAAACTTGCCCCTCCTTGCAGATATGTGCTTTTGATTGAATGTAAGCATTGCATGTCTTTCAAAGATTTTCACAACTTGGATTCAATTCATGTATCAAGAGTTTAAAAAACTAGATATTTTCACTTTTGCAGATACAATTAAAAAAATCTCCCTAAAGTATTCGGAAAATTTTAAAATATCCGTTTCATCATTGATTGTTTTGAGTGGAATTTGCAAGTCTAAAAATTTCAACCAACAAGGAAACATTTATTCGAGCTATGAATCTCAATCATCGTTCCGGGTAGTGTTTTGCTTGTAGTAATAATGGAACTATAATAACTGTTTAATATATTCAATTAACTAAATAATATGTACGCACCTGTACGGCTGGGTTGGCTTGGAAGTAGGCGAACAATGCGCCTGTTATTGCAAGCAGTGCTACCGCGTTAAGCGCTAGCTGCATCAGTCGAAACCTGTGTGGTGAACCCTCGCTGCTGGTGCCACGCATATCTCGTAGCATCTGTTGTAAAAAGTATAACAAAAGGTTAAATAAAACTAAAATGTTCTTAGAACTATTTAAGTATTTTTTTTTAATTACACACTACATGTAGGAAAGAGTTATTTAGAATGTAATATATTACAGTAAGAAAACTAAAATTTAAATACAGTGTTAAAACGCGGTTTTGACGTGATAGAGCCACGCTGCAGCAGGTGGACTGTAGGTTCGTTTGTCACTTCCGTCTAGCGTTTAAAAATATACCTCTAGCAATTACCTACATCTAACAGACTTTAATATCTATCATCAAGTTATATATATATATATATAACACTGAGAACGCCTATGGTGAACCTTAGAACTCTCTCTCAACTCAACAGCATCATCTGCTAATTATTTAAAAAATATTTTTATATGACGACCTACTAGTAATTTTAATAATAGCAAAAAAGCATAATTTTATTTTGTTTTACTATCTACGTATCGACAAGATGGGCATTGGGTCAAGAAAAATATGCGTCCTGCTTTTCTTTTGCTTTTGGACACCTCACAACGCGCGAGCGTGTGGGAGTGCTCTACTCTCGACATGTGTGACGATTTTGCGAAATAAAATTATTAGTATGTCTCAATTTAGACATTAAATCAATAAAAAGTATGTTTTGGAAACTGTATACTATTAAGTTATAAATCAGCTTACTTCTTTTTATTCATTCGTTTGGTTATAGTTACAAAAAATGCACCTAGTTAAAATTATTAGTACAGCTGTCAGTTAGTCTGTGCACTTGTTTGTATTATATTCACGTTTCAGAAAGATATACACAACGAAATGAAATAAGTCTTTCTGAATAAGTTTCCACTATTATCCTTAGAGTGATCCTACTATTGGTGGTTGTTATCAGACTCATAGACGTTTAAAAGATATTTTTTTCATCAAAATTAAATGATATTATGATGTATAAAAATAAAAACGCTAATGAGGCGTGCACTTTTAGACTTTCCAAGCTATTTTTTGGCTATTAGAATAGAATAGATTATAATAATTTTTATTCAATATAAATCACATGTAATTCTTATTGAAAGCATTTTTTTACTTAACTGGTTCGGAAAGAACCAGCCAGAAACCTAGCGGGACTTTTTTTAAAGTAAATTTTACAATATGAAAGGTACAAACTATTTACAAGTAATTTTTTTTGAAACAGCTTGAAAGCGACCGCCTCATTCCCAGGGTTTATTATCAACCATGTTTTAATTTCTATTATAACAAATATCTTTATACAGCTATTGTTTAGTAAAATATATAAACTTGGTTATACAGAGACCTTTTATATTTTCTGGCCTTTGTTGTAATAGCCTATAAATTGCCCGAAGAATAAATCACTGACTCTGTGGAACTATTATTGTCTGATTCAATTATTACATTTGTTTATTGTAATTAGACCCCGTGTTTGTTGCTTGGATTTGTGCTAATTCTAACTACGAAATATTATGTTATTGTATTTCCATTAGTGAGAACCTATCATTGGCTTCTTGTAATTAAACATATTATTTTTACCTCAGATTTCTTTTTTTTATAGAATAAGGATGACAAACGAACACACAGTCCACCTGGTGGTAAGTGGAAGTTGTGGCCCCTAGACATCTACATTTATCCTCAATTAAGAATCAAAATGCATATACGTTATATATAGTACACTGAGGACTAAGATGATACGGGAGAAATTTCAAAATATCTTTAAACGGTTTTGAAGCAATTAATAAAATAGAATCCACACTGACGGTTACTGAGTATCTAATTTTGCAATTCAGCGTTTTCGTAACTTAATCTCTATCCAGCTCCAATTATTATTGAGGGATGCTGTAATGTGACGCAGCAATACTGTTACAGAGTTGGCTACAGACGGACGCTGTTAGAACTACTAACGAGACATTCAAAAGCTCTCCGATTACAGACGTTTGCACTGACGCTTTGTTTGCGGAAATTCTATAGTATTCCTGCTCCACAGATTCATGTGAAATTTCAAATCTTATTTCTTTAGAATTGCAAAACTATTTTGCTGAAATTTCTGAATTAAGAAAGCTTTAGTAAACATTAATTCAAATAAACCCACACAGTTATTTTTATTTTATTTTATTGAATAAGGTACACAAATAGACTGTAGGTACTAGGTAGATGTATACTAAAACCCAACAAAGTGTACACATGATAATAGTAAACTTGCAGTTGTAAATTACCTGTAGCAAAAAGTAAACAAGATTGATAGAGACACGTAAATTTATTTTTAATCTAAATCGCCGTTACTACACTTAATCTCATCCTAATCACTGCACATTTTGACAACAGAATTGAAAAAGGAAGTGTTTTGCCTGTATATGTATAATCTAAAAAATTTTCACGCTGTTATTCGACGGCTTAGTAGCGCAGAGGGAGGTATATATTCGCTATATTATATACCTAGCGCTTTAAATTACAATTTTGTATCTGGATGTTTGTCCACGTACAATTTAAATGCCTCAATGATACAGTATTAACACATTCATTACAACGCATTTCAAGGACGCCTGTAACTAGGCACTAGTTACACGCGCCGTATCCATATTCGTCTAATTAATTAAAGTCGTGATGAATTTACTCACAATTCGCACTTCAAAATACGTCAAGCTCTTTAAGCGAAAGAAGGCTAAAATAGAACAAACATACATATAGTAGCAAAGCACTGGTTTATTATAATTAAAAATTTTATCTGACCTTGATCATTACCACACGAGAAGTATCAGCTTTCAAATAAAAAAATAATCATCGAAATTGGTTCACCCAGTAAAAGTTATGAGGTAACATAAAAACATACAGTCGAATTGTGTACCGTCTCCTTTTTGGAAGTCAGCAGATAAATAATTTGAAAATAAAAATTTTGTACAGTCGACTTCAATATAAGTTATTAAGAATAACTCAAAAACTATTGGTCTGACCATGATCAAATTCATATGGGACCACACGAGAACTACCAGCTTTGATATAAAAAAGAATCATCGAAATCGGTTCACCCAGTAAAAAGTTATGACGTAACACACATAAAAAAAACATACAGTCGAATTGAGTACCGGCAGATTTTTGAAAGTCGGCAGAAAATAAGCAAATTTCAAATCAACTGATGCATGTTATGGAGTAAGTAGAGATCGTCTAATTCAAAACTGCACGCATCTGCCTTGTATTTTGATAGATTTTCGCACATTAGTCGTAATAAGTGTTATAAAATTAAAATCTGCACGCTTTTTCTATTGTGTTTTAGCAGATTGTACCCTTTTGACTATATTGGTAATATAACGAAAATACAAGACGCCTCCCTTTTGCAGTTTACAATTAAATGAATTCTACATGAATGCATAGCTGTATAATTATTTTAAGATATATGTTTTTTTATATAAAACAGGGGTGACAAATGAGCACCTGATGGTAAATTGATGCTTGTAGTCCATGGACATCTACATTTATACCCGAAGAGTCAAAATGCGTAGATGTTGTCAACCCTGAGTACAAACATGGATTGCCTTGTTACCAGCTAAAAGGATTTTCTATTTCTTCTATTAAACTGCTATTTTACGTTGGTATTCTGTAAAAGTATGGTCTTTCCCCGGTTGACTGACCCATTTGTATTACAACCACAATACAGCCGTAGCACGGCTCTACCAAGTGCGGCACGTGTTCTATTCATATTCTGTTATCATTTCTCTGTTGAATAATTACACTGAACGCCCTGTCTGTGAGTAAATCGTCTTTGATCCCGCTTCTTTCTCTTTTCTCGCGCCGACCAACGTCATTCAAAGCCCGTAAAACCGGGCAGATCGTCTTTTGAATAAGTTATGACTTGACCGCTTTGAAGCCTTTAAAACTTAATGATGAAAATACTAGTTATATATACGTTAGGTTCTAAGAATAAAAAAGATTGTTTGACAAAAAAATGTCCACAGTGATCTCTTTGAATAATCTACAATGAGGTATTGGCGTTGTCGTTCCTATAAGCAGTTTCGCATAAGCGTTCAGCATAAGCGTTCTTAACAGCAACTACATATTGTGTCTGCAGAATAAAAACTTTCTACCGAAAGACTGTGACTAACTCAAAAAGCCCACAAAGCGAAACTCGCGTTATATTAGATGTTTAGGGACATGCCTAATAAATGTTACAATTTATAATTTGTAATTACAACAATTTTGTAATATGTTATTATGATTTACATTTTACTTTTGTGTCTATTCAATAGGTGAGGATGTCCCATTTTCATTTTTGATAAAAGAAACAATTTTGTAATATGTTAGTATGATTTACATTTTACTTTTGTGTCTATTCAACAGGTGAGGAGGTCCCATTTTCATTTTTGATAAAAGAAACAATTTTGTAATACGTTATTATGATTTACATTTTACTTTTGTGTCTATTCAACAGGTGAGGATGTCCCATTTTCATTTTTGATAAAAGAAACAATTTTGTAATATGTTATTATGATTTACATTTTACTTTTGTGTCTATTCAATAGGTGAGGATGTCCCATTTTCGTTTTTGATAAAAGAAACAATTTTGTAATATGTTATTATGATTTACATTTTACTTTTGTATCCATTCAATAGGTAAGGATGTCCCATTTTCGTTTTTGATAAAAGAAACAATTTTGTAATATGTTATTATGATTTACATTTTACTTTTGTGTCTATTCAATAGGTGAGGAAGTTCCATTTTCGTTTTTGATAAAAGAAACAATTTTTTAATATGTTAGTATGATTTACATTTTACTTTTGTGTCTGTTCAATAAATGAGTATGTTCCATTTTCGTTTTTGATAAAAGAAACAATTTTTTATTATGTTAGGATATCCCATTCTTATTTTTGATAAAAGTAAAAATTTATAATTTGTTATTACGATTTAAATTTTATTTCTACATACTTTGGTGTCTGTTTAATAACTCTTTTATCTAATTAAATTGTATAATAGGGATAATTTCCTGCTCTAAGATCTCAGCAATATAACCGTTAG